CGAACTCGGGTCGGCCATGTTGGCTGCGTGCAAGGCAGACGCCCTACCCGCTATGCTATCGCTCCAGCCCATTTTAACAAATATTAAAATGTAACATTTAAAACGAACTTAGTTCAATTTTTCCATTTATCCCTCATTTTAAGGATCTGAACAAATCTACCCTTGATATGTTTGCTAAAATCTCATATCACGTTTAATTTTTTTTTTAGAATAAATAAGCTATGGCCATCCTCAGTACTCTAAGGCAGCTGAAAACAATGCTTCCAAACAGTGAACCATACGTGGGGGCCCTAGAATATTCGAGGGCCACAGAAGAAAACTGCAGAAATGCAAGGTCAAGCACAAGATTAGAAGGTCCATGGGCAGAAAGAGGAGTTACAGGAAAGAAATAAGCTCAACAGGGGGCCACAGTCGGAAAAAAAACATTGAGAAACATTAGTCTAAAAGAACAGTCTCAGGACTGGCAATGTAGCTAAGCAGCAAGTGAATGCCTTGCATTTAAGACGTGAATTTGATCCCTAGAACCACACACACAAAAATAATAAGAGTCACTCAACTTCATTATGCAGACATAGCAGAAAAAAATTTTAAGTATCTACTACATTATATGCATGATACTTATAGTATGTTCTAAAAAAGTAAATTAAAATGTACCATTATGACAATATATGAAGTTCAATACTTTTCAGAAGGAAGACATTGGCATTTTCTTCCTGTGTTCTCTAAGAACAAAATATGTATTCCCAACATTCCTACCCACCCACCCAAAAGCTATCCTCCAACTTCTTGAGGTTTTTGTTCACGAGATAATTTTTTTCTGTCAACTTTAAATGAGAATGCAAAATTGTAAAAATATTTAATTATATTTTGACCTTTCCAAAGGGTCAAGATAAAATTGTACGCGGAAACTACATTATTTTTGAAGTGGAAATATTGAACTAATCACAGCAGAAATTTTCCTGATACAGGTATTTTTTAAAAGAAAGGAAGAATTTTTAGAAGAAAAAGGAAGAACTTTACATGAGAAAACTAATGTAAAAGGTGGTATATAAAATGGTTAAAATTAGTAAGGGGAGTAAATGTTTTAGTGATTTTGAGCATCGCGTACTACCTGGCCACATTATTTACTTAATGTTACTAGTCAAATGAATATATTTCAGGAAATCATCAGACAACTTAAAAACAAAAGCATCTTTTCCTTTAGCACAATAACCTGCAAGCATAGACAAAATGTTATATTTCATTCCCCTTCAATTAAGCAATGTCAAGAAAACAGTTACTAGGCATTCAACCTGAGTACAGATACTGCACAGAGCACAGTTCTTTACAAAATCTGATAGCTAGAAAAGGAACTTCAAAATCAAAGCCAAACACGCAAACATTGCACAAATGGGCTCTACAACAGCGACACCAAGTGGTGGTAATCTGAAATAGGTGTTGCAGAACTTGGATACTGAGAGCAGATCTTGAAGAACAGGTCAAGGCATTTTCTGGCATTCTGATTCTTTAAGATTAAATTGAGCCAAAACTCTATCTAAGAATAGCTTTATACTAGTCTTGATTTTGTTCTTGGAGGTCCTATAAAACAAGCCTCATCACTCTTCAACCTGATTTTGAAGCTCTTCAAATATTTTGGTGACTACTACGAACTTTGACTCTTCAACCTTAATAGCCAAATTAAAAGGCCCTCCCGTTGATCGTCGATTTGCTCGAGCGGGCCCAGTAACGTCTCCATTGGAGACTTTGTTGTTACTGTGTTTGGCATATCAAATACTCTCGGTAGCTTGCCGGGCTCTCCGAGAGGGGCGGAGGAATCGAACTCGGGTTGGCCATGTTGGCCGCTTGTAAGGCGAACGCCCTACCCGCTGTGCTATCGCTCCAGCCCAAAATTAGCCAATTTAAATTAGCCAATTTAAATTAGCCAATTAGCCAATTTAAATTAGCCAATTTAAAAATATCCAAATTAAATTTAGGTATTTCTCACGTACAGCAAAAAAAAGTTTCTCCTGATAACATCTGAGACAGGACGCAAGCCTAAGAGCAGAACTGTTTTTCGTCTTTTGGAAGGTGGTGTTGGAATCCAAGTCTGCACAACAAGGCATGTACTCTACAAATAAACCACCTGCCCCAAAAGCTTAATTCTTCAAAGGAAAAACAATGAACAAAATTATACACTGTCACTGTCACTGTCCTCTGTTGTTCATCGATTTGCTCAAGCGGGCCCAGTAACATCTCCATATTGACAACTGTTACTGTGTTTGGCATATTGAATACGTCACGGGTAGCTTTCCAGGCTTTGCTGTGCAGGCGAGATACTCTCGGTAGCTTGCTGGGCTCTCCAAGAGGGGCGGAGGAATTGAACCTGGCTCGGCCATGTTGGCCCCTTACAAAACAGACCCCCTACCAGCTGTGCTATTGCTCCAGCCCAAAATTATACACATCCCCACTTATTTTGAAATTAAAAATCTAAACGTAGGCCATCACTTTAAAAGTCCTGAGTATCTTAAAGCAATGTATTTTAGATAAATATTTAAGGAGTAATATTCGTTGGAATTTAAAAGAAATTAAAAACATTTTCTGGAAATGAAATGAATGCCTCTGACAAATGATAGGCATTGGGCTGTTTCATTTTGTTGTTTTCAGTCACCACAACTTATAATACTGTTAATGTCAGAGTTTCATGTATCCAATGCTCCAACACTCCACTGTCCACGAGTGTCCACTTCTCTTCACCACTATCTTGGGGTCTCCCCCAACCACCCCAAGCCCTTCGGCCCCTCCCTGCCATCTACCTACTGTGGTAAGCTCAGTTCTGTACAGCAGTTCTTGGGTTCTACTGCCCTCAGCCATTTGCTTTCCTCCTTGTAATGCTTCTTTATCTGCCGCATTTGAGACAGATTTTTCTGACAAATAAGAGTTTTAAAACTGTATCACAAATAACCAAATTAGAAAATCTATACAAAGCATCGTTGTTTTTAAAAACAGCTAAATCTTCTTGTCATGCAAGCCCTGAAATGTTCCATAGTTCTCAGGGTATGTGTATTCACATATATAAACACAGCTGTGCTGAACATAAAGAACAAAATGATAACATGTTTCTTATACAACTGCCCTTTTGCTTAAAATGAATGACTTGCAAAACTAACCTAAAAGATATATTTCTATTTTACTACAGTATCAATCAAGAGCAGATTATATTTACATTTAAATTCCTGTATGGTAGAGGTATTTCTACATGCTATTAGCTCTCTATTTGAAATAAGGCAGGGGCGAGAGCAAGAATACAGCAGGTAGGGCATTTCCCTAGCATATGGCCAGCCTGGGTTCAATTCCCAGCACCCCATATGGCCCTGGAGTCCCACCAGGAGTGATCCCTGAGGGCAGAGCCAGGAGTAAGCCCTGAGCAGCACTAAGTGTGGCCTCCTAATCTCTCCCCTCCCCTCCCTCCCCTCCCTCCCTCCCTTCCTTTCTTCCTTCCTTTTTAAAATATTGTCAGTATCACACGCTACTAACAGATCATACAATAAAATTTATTTTACTCTGAGAGCAAAGAGAAAATTCAGTGCCGCTTTATATCTTAGTCTATTAAACAAAGGGATACTTTAATACAAAATAAATATCAATGAATTTTCTTAAATGGCTAAGCTATTAAATAAATGACAATAAATTCACAGGGAGCACTGGATTGCTAACTGTAAGCAAGAACAGCACACTATGAAAGAAAAGCAAGAATGTTAAATCAGTTTTGAAGTCCTTCAACCCTTCTGGAAAACAGTATGGACGATTCTCAAAAAACTAGAAATTGAGCTCCCATTTGACCCAGCAATACCACTCCTGGGAATATATCAAAGAGAGGCAAAAAAGTATAGTCGAAGCGATATCTGCATTTGTTTGTTCATTGCAGCACTCTTTACAATAGCCAGAATCTGGAAAAATCCTGAGTTCCCAACAACAGATGACTGGTTAAAGAAAGTTTGGTACATCTACACAATGGAGTACTATGTAGCTGTTAGAAAAAATGAAGTCATGAAATTTACATACAAATGGTACTACATGGAAAATATCATGCTAAGCGAAATGAGCCAGAAAGAGAGGGACAGACATAGAAAGATTGCATTCATCTGGGGAAAATAAAGTTAACAAAATAGGAGACTAACACCCAAGAATAGCTGTGATAAATACCAGGAGGTTCACTCCATGGATTGGAGGCCAGCTGCACACTCTAGGGGCAAAGGCAGCTCAGAGAGAGAAGGGAGCACCAAATAAAGGGTGTTGGGAAGATCTGCCCAGGATGGGAGATGCATGCTGAAAGTAGACTATAGACTGAATGTGATTGCCACCCAATGCCTCTTTTGCAAACCACAACACCCAAAAGGAGAGAGAGAACAAAAGGGAGTGCCCTGCCAGAGGCAGGGTGGGATGGGGGTGGGAGAAATGCTGGGATTGGTGGGGGTGGAGAATGGGCACTGGTGGAGGGATGGGCACTTGATCACTGTATAACTGAAACCCAAGAACAAAAAATTTGTAAGTCTACAAATGTACCTCATGGTGTTTCACTAATAAAAAAAAATATATATATTAAAAAAAAAAAACAGGTAATATGAGCTCACTTGAGGAAAAGGTAGTAATATGATAATTTACCAAAGTTTCTTAGCTAGGCAGGGAAAGAAACCCAGGCCTTCTACACGCGAAGCAAGGGCTCCAACCTACTGAGCTATCTTTGACCCAAACACCAACAAGCAGTGTTAAGGGGCCAAAAACATTGAAAAATGACAACTTTCTGGTGAAATCTATAACTGTAGATTGCAAACATATAACCAGTACAGTGGCTAAAGGAGACATGAAAGTAGATATTCTTTACTTTTCCAATCTTACACTAAATAAGTAATTTTTCCCTACTTGTAAAATCGGGTCAGCTGGAATGCTGTGAAAATGTATTATTACTGGTAAAATGCTGATAATTTTCAATCCTAAATACAAATTAATTATTTGATTCATACCTTGTTTTAATTCCAATCCTTCAGGTTGCTTATTCTCTCTCAGAGCTGAAGCAGAATCTATACAGCTGTCTTGTCTGAGAAATAAAAATAAATAAAAAATTTTAAATATATTCAAACAATATTACCATTCATGTTCCTAAGAACAATTGAGAAGACCCCCTGAATTCTCCAAGCCTACTTATTCAGAGCACTCTGAAATGTCAGAAACCTGTTTACAAGTTATCAGAAACAGCAACCGGAGCCCAGAGAGTTAAAGTAGCAGATAAGGAACCTTGCACACAGTCAACCTGAGTTGAATTCACGTAGAGTCCTCCAAGCACCACCAGGAGTGATCCCTGAGCACAGGGCTAGGAGTAAACTCTGAGCACAGCCAGGATGGGCCCCAAAACAAAATAGGAAACAAACAAAAACAAAACCCAGAAGCAGCAGCAACCATACAACAAGACCGATTATGCCATTAAAACTAACCGATTATGTCATTAAAAAGTTCTGATACATTATCTTCTGCGACAAGAGTTGTGAACACTAATGCTCTTTTGCTGTTTTTCTGTTTGGGGGTCATACCCAGCGCTGCTCAGGGCTATCTCCTGGGTCTGCATTTAGGGTTTACTCTGGCAGGGTTCTGGCAACTATATGGGGTGCCAGGAATAGAACCTGGTCGCACGTAAGGCAAACGCCTTACCTGCTGCACTATCTCTTCGGCTCCACTTAATGCCACCTTAATATTAATGTTTGCAGGGTCAGGGATGTAGCTTAGTGACAGAGTACATGGCTCATATGTGTAAGACCCTGGGTTTGATCCTGCTCACCAAAATTAAATAGATGAATAAAATATTGGGGTTTACAACACTTTTCAGCAAAAAAAAAATGTAATTGCAAACAATCAAATATTCTTTAAAAATAATTACCTTTTGAGAATTTGTACACAAATGTTTCTAGTCACTTTCTCTCTCTCATACACACACACACACACACACACACACACACACACACACACACACTCTCTCTCTCTCTCTCTCTCTCTCTCTCTCCCTCAAATATCCAATGGAAAAAGACCTGTGGCCATCTCTTTCTTCTGTGTGCGAGGACAGCCTTCCGAGTGATGCTCAGGAGCCACTCTCAGAGAGCCTCGGTGCACCAGGCTAGTGGCTCTGTGCTAAGGCCCAATGATGTGCTGCTCAGGTCCTGTGAAGAGTCTTGGGCCCGGGGATACTAGAAACCACCAAGGGCCTCCCTGCTAATGCTCGGGGGTTCCCAGGTCCATACCCAGTGATGGTCTGGATGTCACGTGGCACTAGGGATTGAACCTGGGTCAGTTGCAAACCAAGCATGTGCTTTAACTCCTGTACATCTTCCCTTTGAGACATTTACAATTCAGGTCATGTACTGACACTTAGATGCCTATTTTCCCTTAAACCTTAATCAATATAGCACATATTCAAATAAAAATTATTTGGACTTGGTTACTACATATGGTTATATATAAATTATTAGGATATCCGAGAGGTATAACTCAAACTATCTGTTTTTTTCAATACTTCCTTTTGCCTAATATCTCCTCTGTAGATTTTATTGTTTCACAAGAATGATACACAAATCCCAAGGAAGATACAAACAATATTCTTTGGCCATCCAGGGACAGACTGAGTGCCAATTTACTACATTAAGCGCACTGAAGGAAATAAAGTTAAAATGTGCTGCCTCAAGCTTTACATTCAAATCACACAATACCTAAGAGGAACATTAATTTGATTTTATGCATCTTCCCTTAGAGAAAATGCTCTCGCTTATGCATCTCTGGCAATTCATTTTTCCTCTAAACATACACACCTAATTTGCAAGAAAATGACAAGAGTGGAGGAAGGGTACGAGAGTTAAGGCACTGCATTTGTCAAGTTAGTTTGATCCCTGGCACCACCAGGAGTAAGCCCTATGCACCCCCAGATGTGACCCAAAACAAGTGAAAATATAATGTAAAATCACCATTCAAAAGACAATACGCATGTGTAATAATATGTGCAATATTGCGGCTAAGAATGTCTAACCAATATCTGTAGATTAGTCAGACAACCCTGAAATAAAAAGCAATGTTCTACTGCCAAAAAAACAAAAAAAAAGAGAAAGAATGAAATGTTAACCATATAAAAGACAATGGATATTCCAGGCTAAAGGAAGCTAAATATGGCAATTAAACATTGTAAGTGACTTGAGACTGCTAATCTGAAGGGTAGAAATATTATAAAAGACGCTGAGTCACATGACAAAGCAAAATGCTGATTGCAGAATGGATAAAAATAGTGTATCAACACTAATCTAGTGCAGTTGATCTTGAATAGTGGTTATATAAAATAGAATACTGCTTTTTTTTTAAAATGTACAACTACTATTTAGGGACAAAGTATCAGGACATAAAATCAGGACATACATAAAAGTATCTCGATAATTTAGAAAAAAAAGTGCACGATTACAAAAATAGGAGCTTAGAGGAAATAAAATATTGATAATTGGTAAATCTAGATATAGGGAAACATGAGTTTGGTTCTGTTTTTTTTTTTTACTATTTTCACCCTTCTTGCAACATTTTAGTAAGTCTAAAATTATTTCCAAATATAAAACATTAGTAATAAGTAAAAGACATTTTATTTCCTCCATGAAATCTCCATTGGATCCTCTTCAGATAAAACTGGACCCCTCTACAGAGTACCAGCTGCAATAAACAATTTCTTTTAATGCCTGATGAGAATTGTCTGCTTTATCTTAAATTGAGTTTGAGGGCTGTTGAAGTTGCCAAGCAGAATTCAAACAGTAGGTGTAGTGCACCACCTTGTGGATGAAAAAGGTAAAGCTAGATGCTTTTACACTATCCCCATTACTTTGAGTGTGTGTGTGTGGGGGGGGGGACCCAAAACCCAAAAAATACTTTAAAATTTTACGCTAGAAAGTTTTTTTTTAAAGAAGAAACCTTGCAACCAAAATTATCAAATTTATTTAGAGTTCTCTAATTTATGGGTAGTAAAGGGCAAAAAATGCGAGATGCAAAAAAAGAAAAGTTTTAAATTAAGAAAAATACGATATTCTTAAACCTCAGAGCTGACACGCTGGGTGTTGGCAAAGTTTCATGACGCCTTTTAAACCACTTTTGTATCTGTACATCTGTACTCCGAAGCACTCGATGAAAAGTCGCTCTCAGTGGTTTAATAAGGAAGGACAGAGACTCCAGCCTCCAGGAGAAGTTCTTTTCCTCTCCCAGAAGATCAAAGACTTGCACCCAGCGCCCCCCCCCCAGGTTTCTGAGGGTTGTTGCAGCTGAATCATAGGGATCCCCCTCACCCCTCTCAAAAAAAAAAAAGCACCAAGTTGTGCTTTTCTTCTGGAATTGTCAGTAAACACAGCAGTAGCACTTGTTACACTAAGTGGATGGCTGTTAGAGACTTGGGGGCTGCCTCCTGCTCATGAGGGCTCATGTATGATTTACCGTGAATGTATGATTTACCGAGAAACCCTGCAGCTTTCATCTGCTGATGCTGTCCATCTACTGAAAATAAGTTTTCATTTTTTTCTATCCCCCACCAAAAAAAGAAAATATGTGGTGCTTCACTAATTAAAAAAAAGGGAACAACAAATAAAAAAAAAGAAAATATGTGTCTTCTTTTCTAATGTATATTTATTAATTTCAAACACTTGAAGCTTAAATGTTTCAAACACTTTAAAAGTACGTGAGAATTTTTTAACAGCTGAAGGGAGAGAAGGGAGAAAAAGGGAAAACTGTCTACTCTATTTGGGGTTAAGAACCTTTATTTTTGTACTTCTTTACGTTAAAGAAAAAACAAACCTGTTTTTACTTTCTAATTTCCTTCTCCCATCTGCAATGTTCCTTCTTGCACTCCTTAATTTACAATCTTGATCTTATAACAATAATAACACCTATCCCAGGAATTTTAAGTTTTTAAGCCAACTCCAGTCCAACTTTATGTTGTCCTAAATATTAGTCCATTTTTCATTCACTCAATAAATGTTTTCACAGCCGGTGTCATACAATGAAGAGATCTTATGGAGCCGGTTTGAGAAAAACTACACATATGAATTACAAAAAGGTTTAACATTTATTTCTAGATTGAAAACCATTTTTGGACAATATCTTATCCAAATAAGTATCAGGAAGACCCCTCTAAAGAAGCATTAAGAAACAGGATCAAAACAGTTACATTCTTCCTATCTGGCAAAACAAAGCAAAACAAAACAGAAAAGAAACCAAAATGGAAATGAATTAAGCAACCTGAAGTAACAAAATACACAACCCTTTATTCTTTTAGGATGCTAGAAGTAAAAAAAAATGACACCAGTCTACTATCTTATGGGCTCTCTATTATTAAAAATAAAAGATAGCCAAGAAACTCAAAAGAAATATCATTTTAAATCTTTGGCCACACCCAGAAATGCTCAGGGCTTACTTCTGACTTTGCTCTCAGAGGACACTCCTGGCAGGGCTTGAGTCCTTAGGGGTATTAGAATAAGATCAACAGGAAGCAAGGTAAGTGCCTTAACCTCATACTATCTCTCCAGTCCCAACCAGAAACATGTTAATTAAGAATAAAGTTGAAGGATGCATACTATCTGACTTCAAGACTCACAGCTACAGTAATCAAGATTTAACAATACTGGGGGGAAAAAAGGCATACGGATTAATGGAGTAGAATAGGGTTTAGAAATGTGTGCATATATTTATGCCTTACTGATTTTTCAACAAAAATGCCCAAAGCAATTAAGTGGAGAAAAAATATCTTTTGAACAAATTGTGTTATACAACTGAATATCCACACAGAGGTTTTTAATCCATATTTTAATACTATATACAAATATTAACTCAAAAATGAAACTCAAATGTAAAAATACAAAATCTGTATTTTTTCTAGGAGATATAATAAAAATTGGATTGAATTAATAATAGATTAACCAAATTCATGATCTGCTAAAATAGAAATAACTGATAATTTGGGTTCTACTGAAAAGTTTTGCTCTTTTAAAGAGAAGTGAGATCAAGCTTCTAAAGAGCAACTATAGATTGGAAGAAAAT